TATATATTCAAACTTAATATTTATTTATATATAATTTATTATAAATTTTAATTATATATAATAAACATATCATTCTAAAATACTAATTCTATACAAAGTAAAAATATTTTATCATTAGAAGTATATATATTTTTATTTAAAAATGAAAATAGTTTGTTTACTTTTTTCTAAAATCCATTTTAAGATCAAAAGAAAAAAAATAATCCCACTCGGGCCGAACCAGCTTTAAAATCTTACCAATGCTTCAGTGATTTCAAGTGTGCTGCAGTTGCAAAACCTAGGGTTAAGCCTTCTTCTGAGTTGTGAGCTTTTCAGCGGTTTTTCCCACAATGGTAAGTATCATATCTGTTTTAATTCACACATTAGATCTGAAATTGTTTAGTTGTGTTTTCATTCTTCTAGCTGTTGGTGCAAATCTACCTCATTGTTTTCTTTCTTTTCTAAAATGTTCTTCCTGAGTTGTTTTGTTTGAGAACTTAATTCATATATGTTTTTTGTAATTTTATCTTTTCAGCTCACTGTTATTATAGTTTAGAAGATTGTACCACGAGATATCACTTAGATGCCTATAGTTTTCTGAATGAAAGGTTTTTTTTTTTTTTTTTTTTTTTTTTTTTTTTTTTCTGTTTTGTGTGAGTAGGTTCTTCAGAATGATATTGATTTGCTGAACCCTCCAGCTGAGTTGGAGAAGAGAAAGCACAAGCTTAAGCGTCTTGTTCAGTCTCCAAATTCTTTCTTCATGGTATAGAATGTTCTACTACTTATTAATTGAAACAGAAAATGGCATCAGTAGTACATTACTATTGCTATTAATTTTGTTTCCAGAAAAAGGAAAAAAAACCCTATTTTAAGCTTTGATTATTTGCCGCAGGATGTGAAGTGTCAGGGTTGCTTCAACATGTATGTAGGATCATTCTTTTATACTTTTTCATTTAATTTGATTTAAATGAAATTTAAATAAGTGATAGAAATTTGGTTATTTGTTCTTGTTAATTTGATGCAGAACAACTGTGTTTAGCCACTCTCAAACAGTTGTGGTATGCGGTAACTGCCAGACTGTGTTGTGCCAACCAACGGGTGGACGGGCGAGGTTAACTGAAGGTTGCTCTTTTAGGAAGAAGGGAGACTGAAATGCTTCATTTTTCATGATTGAAGAGTTTCGGCTGTTAGGTTTTTGATATGTAACCAGTTTTAGTTATGATTATTAATTTTGTTAACTATATCTCTCTGCCTTCTCAAGACATGCTAGTACCACCCAATCTTGAATTTTTCTTTAATGAAGTGGATGATGTGGTTTTGTTGGATATATATTTTTATAACAATTTTCCTTACTGAAGTGGATATGATTTAATTTGGATATTTGCTTCTGCAATACATCTAATTGAGCATGTTCACATGTCGTGTTAGTATCGATGTACATGTGAGTTATGGTACCAATTATGGTACCAGGAAAATACATTCCACGTATTAGGCCAGCATTCTACATGCTGCATAGTTTTGTGTCTGCAATATTGGCAGACAATAATTATAATTGGGAAATGGTTGGTGTAACTTGTTTTTTAATGGAAATTTTATGCTTGTTATGTAGTGTGCATGTTGATTCGATTGAACATTATGCAATTGTTGAGCATTATGTTGACAGTTTATTTATGTGTCCTTTCTGTTGGAATGAATTTCCATAGTAGTTATGAGGACTGGTTTGGTTAACTCCATGTATCTAAGGTGACCGTAGAAAACAAGGAAATAATAAAGAAAAAAGAATAGTTAATGGAATGAGAGCAAAGCCCCCAAAGTCAGAGAAAGGTTCTCTTGGCTCCAAATTCTATTTGCAAAACTGATATGATCCCCCACAAATGATTCCCCAATCCCAATATAACAAGATCACACAACACTACTTCTCTCTCTCACTAACTCTCCACCAAAAGATAATATTATGCCCCATACTTTTTGGGCCTTCGGTGATATGTCATGAAAGACCTATCCCACTTAGAAGGTATATTCCTATAAATACCACCCCCTATAAAAGTTGCCTTGTCTGCAAGGTAAAATTTGGGATATTTCTCTTTAATAGATTTTGCCTTTTCCCAAAAGGCTTCCTCTACAGGTCATGACTTCCACAAGATCAGCCATTCCTCAACTGAGTTAGTTGCCTTGGTGCTTGCCTATCCTAGTAGCCAAAATAGCTCCAAGATTAGGGGACTTAGATTTAGTAACAACCAGCCCTGGAGGCAAAGTGGTAGTGGTTGAGCCACTTTTCTCAGATCATTTTGTTAGAAAAGAATGGCTTGATCCAAGAAGGGGGTGAATTAGATCTATCAACACTTTTCAAAAAATTTATTAGAGTCATGGATCTTTATTTCAAAAAAACTTTTCTAAAACAATTTCCAAAGAAGTTTATTGAAATCTTGGTATATGGGATATGTTCCTATATGCTTTAATAACACTTCTTTAAAGATTCAATTCACAACCTTGTTAGCATTCTTTAATTATACTTGAATTAAACCTTTAAACAGACAAGGATATTAATCACATGCAAACATATGTGAAGCAAGTTAATTTTCCAATTAGAGATTGTATAAAGTAAAAGAGTAAGGATAAGAGAGAAGTGTAAGATTATTTATTCTAGTTCAGCCATTCTACATGTGACCTACATCCAGTCCTCAATCATAACCTGATCAAGATTTGTTCCACTATCTCAATGGTGAAGTTTTACAATGATATCACACATGCAAAAGACTCCAATATACAAGATAGACCCTTTCTTGCACCCAAGAATGTACTCCTTGTAGTAACCCACTACTATAACTCCTACACTTGAGAAACCTATTTAAGTATCTTATCGCAAAACACAAAAAGATTAAGGAACGAATTCACCTGTAACTCCAAACTCAAAAAGGTGAATTCTCTATCAAGTCTTTGTCCCTTATAAAGAATGTAGATGATGATGACAATCTTTCAAAACATTTCACAAAGATGTTTATTTCTTGGATTCACAAAGAAATCTCTTTGAGAAGATCACATAGATCAAAATAGTTCACAAAGTTTCACTCAAAATCACTTGCTTAAGTTTTTGTATGAGAAAATCATTTTTATAAAGTTTTCAGACCTAGATAATCGATTATTTTAAGGATAATCGATTATTTTGTTATTCATGTTTCTGGAAATCATGCAAGAACAAAATAATTAATTATTTCACAGGATAATTGATTATTCTAGAAAGCACATTCTAGGATAATTGATTATTTTAACAGATAATTGATTATTACAACGTTTCTCAAGTTACTAAAAAATAGAGTAAATAATCAATTATGTTTAGTGAATAATCGATTATTTTGAGTTAAATCTCAAAATTCGATTTTAAACATCCAAAAACTTTCCAAGTTGTTCTCAATCACCATCATACTAATTCTAAGACAATTAGGATAAAGATTTGACTCATGCACAAAGCATAGACTAACATGAACATGCATAGGATAACATAATCAAACAATTTAAGCAACAACTACACATAAACTACTCTTATAACACTTTACACTTTCAAATACATTCATGATCTTCAATCTTCTCCTTTGTTATCATCAAAATACTTCAGAATTTGATTCACCATCTATGAATCTCAACACATTTGAGCTGCAAAAAAGCTGCAAAAAATGAAAAATTGGGAGAATATGAGCAGAATTTGGAAGTTGAAGTTTGTAGGCCACCTCTCCCACATGTGACAACGCTTGAAAGGGTTCATAGTAATGAAGGGACAACTTGGGATTGACCCTACAAGCAATAAATTGTTGTCTATGAGGACGAAGCTTCACAAACACCCAATCCCCTTGAGCATAAGTCACACACCTCCTATGAGCATTGTCGCAACCCGAAAAACTTCGATCTTGCGACTAAATGGTTTAGACTTCCAATTGAAAATCTCATTAATTAGGGAATGCTCGGAAACCAGACTAATTCCATATTAATGGTTTTGAAAAGTAGGTTCATGGAGTCGCCACCAATGTTTTACTCAAAATATTGGAAAAAAGAAAAGGTTTTTGAAAATCCAATAATGGCCTTGGTAACCAAAATTGGGTTCGGGGGTCGGTTACGTGTAGGGAAGGTGTTAAGCACCTCTACAACGCCCTAAATCGGCACCCTATGATGAAGATAACATAATAAGATTTAAAAGTAAAAATATTTTATCCCCTTTATGAATGGTTATTTACATACTTAAATTTAAATTACCCGATTTTCCTTTGAATGTCTACATGATTACTTTTTATTTATTTATTATTATTTAGAGCAATATTGGTTAAAAAAAAAGAAATAGGAGGAGAGAGGAGTGTTGACTGGAATACCTCTTGGCTGAGCTTTATTAAATCTTCAAGTATAGAGACTTTTAGGCACTTTTTGGCTACCTATCACTATAATATGCCTCACAAAATCTCAAGAAATACAAGATGAGAGAGAAAGAGAAATTTTGAGCTATATGAGATTTCTTAGACCAATTTTTTCGGCCTTATGAGCAGTGCTCGAGTATTCTATTTATAGACGTCAAAACTGACAAGAACGACTCATTCTGAATTCGGAACGACCCATTCTGGACTAGTTTGTTATGAGTTAAATTTGAATATGGAACAACCCGTTCTAAAAGTAGAACGACCCGTTCTGGATTTGACATTTACTCATAACAAATTGTGTTGGAACGACCCGTTCCAAACTAGAGTTTCTAGGCCTTTTTAGTAGTTTGGAATGACTCGTTCTGGATTGGGAACGACCCGTTCTCGGCTACTAAATCACCCTTATTGGGCTTTGGGCCTTTTGATGTCATATCATGTCATTTATAGTCCTTCGAGAGCTCCTTTTCTTCTTGTTAGATGTCCATTTGCTTGTTTGTATACCCTGGACGAAATTTAGTGTCTACAGATACCCCTCTTTACTTGTCTTTTGGGATAACTATGCGTTAACTTTTCAAAGGCAAGTAAAGACGTAGACATTTCGTCCGGGTCTTCTCTTTGTCTCTTTGTGATGACGCTTCTATGTTGCTTCCTTTGGATAGGTGGGTTTGCCTATATCCTTACCTTTTAAAGCAGCTGAGTGTTGGGTTGTGTACTCTATTGGGTAACAAGGGTGACAAGCTGTAAACCTGATCTTCTGTCTTCGACTAGATGCTCCATGCCACTTGCTTTAATTGCTTCTCTTGCGATAGTGAGGTGGAGATTCGGGTATTCTCTCTTGTTTTGACATTAGATGCCTCCACGTTGTTTCCTTCGGGTAAATGGTGTTTACTGGAATCCTTGCCTTTCGGGGCAACTGAGTGTTGGGTTATATGCCTTGTTGGGTGTTAAGGGTGGTAAACTTGTACCATCTAGGCTTTAGGATCCATGTGAATGTTCCATGTCACTTTTTTTGTTGTTGCGTCCGAGTCTTCCCTTTCGCTTCAATAGTGTAGATGCCCCCACATCATTTCCTTCGGGTAGATGGTGTTTACCTATAACCTTGACCCTTAGAGCAATTGAGTGTTGGGTTGTATGCTCCATTGGATGATAAGGATGGTAAATTTGTACCATTTAGGCTTCTGGCTTGATGTTGACGCCCCCTACTGCTTCTGCTTGCCTCATGGTAGTGTGCTCTTTATTTTGTAGCTTGTTGAAGAGGGAGTATGTTCTAAGCTTAGTCTCTTTAGATTGGATTGATATTTGAGGCTTCAACCGACCCAATGCTAGTTTTGGGGTCTAGCAATCCTTACCGATCTTGTACTAGTTTTGAGGATCTAGCAACCTTTATCGATCTTGTACTAGTTTTGAGGATTTAGCAACCTTTACCGATCTTGTACTAATTTTGGGGATCTAGCAACCCTTACCAATCTTTATACTAGGGGTGAGCATTAAACCGACACCCGAACCGAACCCGAAAAACCCGAAAAAAAATATTGCTTTTGGGTGGGTTCGGGCGGGTCTTATGGGTAAATCGGGTTAAAATTTTGATTTTATACGGGTTATATTGGGCGGGTTCGGTTTTGAATTTTTAAACCCGCTAAAAACCGAACCCAACCGAAAATGAGATAAGTTTAAATTTTTATTACTTTTGTATAACTAAACAACAATGGTCCAAATTTAAAAGTCTTTATTTCAAGTATAATATAGCCATCAATTTGTAACTTATTTTTTTCCTTTTTCTCATAACTTAGATATTTATTTTGTCTTCTCCTTCCTCATTCAACTTCTCAACACACTAGTCTATTTTTAGAGTTATCTTTTTGCTTCTTTCTTTGTCTTTCTTTTCCATCTTCTTATCTCCATTTTGAGTACATTTTGTGTGACTGTGATTTCTTATGGTTTTGTAATCTAACTTTATATTTCTTTTCCATGTAACAACTA